ACAACAAGTCAACAAGATGTTGACATACACAACAACAAGTCAACAAGATGTTGACATACACAACAACAAGTCAACAAGATGTTGATATACACAAGTCAACAAGATGTTTACATACACAACAACAAGTCAACAAGATGTTGACACACAACAACAAGTCAACAAGACGTCAACACAAACATTTGTACCTTGCTACTCTTAGCCCTGACCTTTAGTCTTGGGGATTTATCTCAGATCCTGCCTGCTCACCATGTTGCTCTTCTTAGACCCCGCCCCTGACCTCTGTTCCCTCAAGCCCCGCCCCCTCACCTTGGGAATCTTGGCTCCTAAGTCCTGGTACTGTTTGGGGTTCTTCAGGAAATTAACAAACTCCATGATCTCTAACTTGGCCTCCTCGCAGCCCGCCACGTCTTTGAACTTGACGTCGATCTCGTCCTTCAGAACCTTGGCCGTGGTCTCGCTGACTCTGAAGAGCCCGCCTAGCCCCCTGCTGGGCCGGCCCGCTCCTGCAGAGCCACGCCGCATCATGAAGAGCAAGAAGCTGATGATGAGCAGCGTGGGGATCATGCTGAGCAGGAACGAGCTGTGGAGCAGAGCATGCATCAGTCACTTGGTTCTGACAGGAACCAAAGCGGGCTGAAGCGGGCCGCTGCTCACCCGTCGCTCTCGGTGGTATAAACCACAGGCAGGTGGTTCTCACTCTCGATGCCGAGCTCATTCTGAGCCGCCTCCAGGTTCCTCTCGAAGGTATCCACACTGCCGATGTTGAACCAGACGTACTGCTGCAGAAACAAAAGGGGCGGAGTCACTCACAAGAGGCGGAGTCACACAGCTTCACGGTCACATGACTCCTGAGACAAAAGGAACGCACCCCGTCTGCCGGCATCTGTCCTGCTGAGAACACCACTTTAACGTAACGCTTGTTGACCACCTCCAACCGGTCCACCTGAGGAACAGACCACCAATCAGAGACCTGAGAGCTGGTTCAGGTGTGCTCAGGTGTGCTGCTCACCACTCCTTTGGACAGGTAGTTGTTGACAAACTCCTTCCATGTTACTTCTCGAACTCCGTCCCGTAGGAAGTAGTACATGATAGCAGCCGAGAACACCAGACCACACAGCGAGTAGGTCCAAAACTCCTTATTGTCCCAGGGAATGTCCCCCTGAAACACACAGAACTAAGCCCCGCCCATACCTGTACAGGTAACGCTCAGGTCTAACAGGTGACTGACCTTCTGCAGGCGGCTGTACCAGCTGGACTCCTCCTTGCGACCTCCTCGTTGCCCACCTCCTCCTGCAGCGCCGCCTCCAGACTTGTCAGGTGGTTTCTGACTGTTGGCAGCTTTGGGTTCTAAGAAACACCAGAACAGATCAATGAAACCTCTGAACCAGGACCAGGACCAGGACCAGGACCAGGACTCTGGATCTTATCTGCAGTCTGAGCAGAACACTGGTGATTCAGACAGGTGAGTAAAGGTTTCTGCTGATGTCATCGGATCTCAAACCAGGTGTTCTGAACAGCCTACAGGTGAACATCTGTGCAGGTGCAGGCCCTGGTCACAGACACAAACATTCTTCACCTGTCAGGAACCCTCTTTGGTGCTCTGAACCAGAGGTTCTTAAACCAGGGCCACAGCGCCACCTTCAGGGCCTCAGAAGAACAACAGTTTTTAACTTTGGGCCACAGAGGGCCACAGAGGGCCACAGAGGGCCACAGAGGGCCGTGGGACCACATTGATTTAAAATAAGGTGTAATACACTTTCTCACCACTAGTAGCAGTAGTGCACCACTCAGATGKTBAACAACTTTTTAATATGTAGAAGAAGAACCTTAGAAACCTGCTGAGGATGGAAACTTATTTTAAATGAAAAGTAGAA